CGCCCCCGCCGCCCCCCCATCCATGTTTCTGAAGCATTGCATCGCGAAAAGGGGGAGAAGACGTGGGTTCTCTCGTTCGATGATGGAAGAGAGACGACAAGCCACTGGAGAAAGATGTGCTACGTGCACAACGTTGAATATAATTAAGCTTTCCTAGACGTCAAAGCGAAATACAGCTCGCTTCATTAAGAACAGAGTTATACTCGCAATACTACTATATTCCCCTGTCATATCCTCCCCCTCCTCCTCCTCCTACTCCTCTTTCAAATAAAAGAGATAAAGAGGATGTGGATAGGAAGATAGAAATGCTTTTTATATTAATATAATATATATTTTATAAGAAAATATAATTGATCAATGTAATAAAATTGTGTGTTAATTATTTGAGTCATTGTCAGTATTTAAAATATTCCACATTTGTTGATGCATTGTAAATGTGCACTCTAGGATTATTTGAGTCCCACAACAAAATTTTATTGAATTGTTATTATCTTTTCTTTTTTTCTTATGACTTCATAATAATATTACTAAGTTTAATTCTTAGGGATGTTATTTTTTGGACAGGTTTAAATTAGATGAACAATATATTTATCCGTTGAACGTTTCGTCCCTATATTTGGGACTTCCTCAGCAAGTTGATAGTTATGTTCATAAGTCAATATAACATCATTTTTCATTACAGTCATAAGTTTTCACTATCTTATATATAGAGTCAATTTTAAACCGTTATCCTACCATAACTTTTCAAACACTAATAATGTTATTCCTTTGTTAATAAAAAATAAGACAACTTGGTGCAATATTTAAAAAGAAATACAATTTCTCTCCGCAACATGGATCTTTTTATTTATTTTTCAAAGGGTTAAAAGTTTACCACCATCATACTACCATCTCGTAGTTAGGATCATATTCATAAACGATTTTGATCATGTTTATTAAAATAGGAATGACGATGTATAAGTTTTTATTACTGACGATTTTGTAATGATTGTACACTCTATTACTTTTCTAATCATTAGTACACTCAACCGAACTTTAACACGATTATTCATTCCATGCTGCATGAAGGTTGATTCGAGTTTATTAAGTCGAACTATATGGAAACTGTGTTACATAAAGGCTGTCGCAATTTTCCTATGCGCGTTTAAAGCATATCAGGTTATAAGGGAGAGATGGTTTAGTATATATATATATATAATTTGATATATATGTATAAATTATTCATTAAACGAAATTACAAATATATCTGCATTACTTGCGGTATTATATAAGGATAACAAAATATTTCATTTCATATTAAATGAATATTATAGAAAAATTATCTACAATAATTATACAAAAATTATCTAATTATATAGAATATTATTTTACGTCATTAATTATAATGATTTAAATGGTATTATTATCTCTATTCGAATTAAACTGTGCACATAGATATTAAAAAGAGAATATTATTCAAAGTTAATATATTATAATAAACGAACGGATGTTAATTATGAGAGATGGTAAAGTGATCCTACGAGACTAATTCGTAAGATGATAAGCAAGCAAGAAAAGTGTCATTTCCGGCGCGTGAGAACAATTCGTGGCAAACAAGCCACCGAGTTTCGTAGCTGCTCATTAACACGTCAGCGTTGAAGAAATGATGCTTCGAAACTGACGTAACGATCATCATTAAGCTTCTCCAGTTTCCACGGACTTCGGATGGATGATGAGTCATTCTGTAGATCTAACATATGTAGAACTTTCCCAAGAATTCAGCGTCTATTCGCTAATTTCCCTAATTCCAATATTTTCTTCTCACATTTCTATTTCTAATCGGGTCACGTGTACATATCTAACATGATATTATTTCAATTGTTCGTCGTTAATAAGAAAATCCAAAAAAAAATGCAAATAATTATGAAACGCAATGAATAAAAAATTAATATTAAAAATAAAATATAAATTAATTTCGTCATGCGAGATCTAAATGCACATTTTCTACATATTGAAAAAAAGAATCTTATTTTAATCTCGAAAAAAAATGTTCGTAAATTTAAATCGATTAGAAATTTTTTTCTTAAGGTATTTTTTTTCTTTTCCTTATGTAAAAACACGTCGATAAAATATTTTTTAGGCTTTTACTATAAAACGATCTCACCCTCGCATATATATATATATATATTCCCTTGAAAATCGATGGTAAATGTTACAGAATGAATAAAGCAAACCCTTGAAACGTTGCTTTATTGCTATTAAAAGAAGATAAAGGTAGGAAGAACGATTAAACCTTCTGAAAAATAAAATAGCTAAGGGAAGCGAAGGAAACGAGCTACTTATCGGTTACTTCGATACATCATGGCTGTTAAGCGAAAAAGGAAGGTTCCAAGCGTGAGTTCCAAGAGATCGATTAGGTTCTATCGGAAAATAAAAGAGAAGGTAAAAGTGTCAATCAACATTATTCGAAACATATAAATACGTTATCGTCCATAAATCACGCTGAAAGATCCCATTATTTTTAATAACGTTATTAACAATTTAAATTATGCACAAGAAAATAATATCAAAAATACAATAAAACGTAACGACAATTTTCTTCATTCGGTTTTTCTTTTCCAAAAAATCCTTATGATTAAGATTCGATTGTTTCTATTAAAATTATTATATTAAAACTGAACAGAAAAAATATTAAAAAATATATAATAATATTTAAAATACGAAAAATGTCTAATACAATTTTTAACGTATTAACTACCTTCATTTCTTATTATAAAAAAAAAAAAAGCAAAAAAGTACATTAAATAGTATTAATAAAATTAAATAAAGATCCTATACACATAATACCATACTTACAATCCATAAAATATTGATCTCTAAAAGGATTTTCTAAATACGTTCTAAATCACTATACTAACACATAAAATGTTGAAAAGTATTCTCCCATAAGAGCCGTAATCTTATTCTAAGAACTTCTAACATAAGAGACCAGAACCTTAACCAGAAAAGCATTATGGAGTCATGTCGTGTAAACGCATAATCGGCACTTTTTTTCTCGCTGAACACAGCGAATTAAAGGGAAGATGTATAAGGGACAGACATTTAACTTCGAAGGTAGAGAAAATGAGAGAGAGAGAGAGAAAGAAATAAAGAAAAAAAAGAAAGAGATAGCAAGCAAGTAGTAATCCACGGCAAGGGGAATCCCACACTGCACGGAATATATAATATTTTAATTTCGTGGAAAATCTGATGATGTAATTTCAGGAGTAGGGCGACGCCCAGCAATTGTTTCAACCGGCTTTCACTCTTACATTATTCATGAATCCTTTAGGTTTTCTCTCTCTTTCTTTCTTTCTATCTCCTTTTTCTACTTCACTACCACAAGGGAAAGTCATTCCCTCTCTTTCTTTCTTTTTTTCTTCCTTCTTCCCTTTTATTTTTTTGTTTTTAGTCCTTCCCTTTCTTCTTTATCATACCTTTTCTTTTCTCCACCTGCGTGATTCCCACTGGATTTATACATACATACATAAATGCATGTATATACGAATACGTTTGTGTATATATATATATATATATATATACATGTATATAAATAATATATAAAATATATATATATATATAGAAGGAAATATGCTCGTGACAGGGATTGTTCTACCAGTGAAACCTTTTGTTATCTCCGTTTTATTTTCTTTCTTTGTGATAAGCAGCAGCAGCAGCAGCAGCAACAACAGCAACAACAGCAACAGCAGAAACTTCGAAGTTCTAAAGAGACGTTTGAAGAAAATCGATGAGGGATTTAGTCGAGTCCTAGCTAGCTTTGATACACGACGATACTTTTTCTTCTACTACCATACGGAATCGTAAAAACAAACGTTTTGCTTTCCAAGAACAAACATTAACATAAAAATCAATTGTTCATATATGAGAATACATTTCAAATTAATATATCTCCTTAAAAAAAAACAATATTCATTTATAAATTGTAATAAAAGAAAAAAAAAACAATGTACTTTGTAATTGTTGTACAAGCACATTGAAATATAATCAAATAGTAATTAATATGCAATAATTATTTACAGTTGTTTGATTTTTTTTTATTTTCATTAAATTATACAAGAACCTAAACTTTGTTAAATCGTATTAAAACAAATTAAAATTAGAAACGAACGTCGTCCTACTAGTTGTGTTGTAAGAATTAAAAAGGGATATACAGGTGCTAAAATGTCACCCTTCGTATCGTCTGCGTGCTAATTTGTAAAGAAAACGTACGCGCTGTGATCAACCACAGAGCTGTAAAGTTGGCCTCGTTACTAGTGTAAATATACATTAGCGCCGTTTCGTGTAAACATGCAGTTTTCGCACCTAATTGCCGTGTACGCGTAAACGTAAAATAGAAGGAAAAACTTAATGATCATCCTGTTCGTAATATTGATACAACAACCAAATGGTTATAATAATAATGTAGTACCCTAGACAATTATATATTTCATTTTCTAATAAATACGCTAACGTATGTATTAGTTTAAATAAATATTTATTAGCACCGATTACGTGAACCTTTAATTATATGATGTACAACAGTTGCCTTATAATAATAAAAAAAATAAATAAATAAATTAAAACAAAATTCTAGATATCGATATTTCTAACGATAATCCCAACGATAATCCTAATAATTTATATTTCTACATACTTTAGGATGAATTCGCTATGTTTAAAAATTAATATTATCAGATTACTATGTTACTGTTAAATTTATTAGGGATATCCATAAGTAATGTTTTTTAATACTGTTGTAAAACATTTTATTTTATATACCAGTTTATGTAATTTAAGATCTAATATTCTTTTATACCTTTGGTTACCGAAATATATCTAAACGATATTAATTCGTACACCGATGAGTGAAAAACATCGAAATTCTTTCCTTCGTACAAGCTTTAAATAATTATTTTTTTCAATTGTTTAAATAAAATAAAATATATACGTAGGATATAAATATATCCTATTTAAACAATAGTGCATTTAATTAAATATTACCTATTTATTAATGTACTTCGAATATTAAACAATTTCGATTAGATATTTTATTAAATTTTCAATTCAAACTCATTACTGGGTAAAAACGTTAAAACAATCCAAAATATTAATAAAATACATTAGAATATTCGAAACACCTTAAAAAATTATTAATTAAACGAAGGAAATATATATTATAATCTAAAAGCACAAAATATAAGACGAACGTACCATCCGCTTCGAAATCCATTGTTAGACTGACTCATTGTCATTTATGAAAGTCAATCAAATTTCTTTTATTGATTGTTATTTATATGACTTTCTGAATAATAGATTACGAACTTTTATACGATTACATATTTTAATTTGTATGTAATATTCACAATAATTAACAAAAGTAATTTTTAGTAATTTGAAATAAAATTAATGGACTTGAAGGTAACCACGTGGTATCTTAGTTACATTCTGCGCGTCTAACTTTTTTAATTAAATATAATTAATAATACTAAAACAACTCGTTTCATAAGATGTAAGAAGAATATCAACCTATTATTTTCCTATCATTATTATTATTATAGTATTTATAGATAGCTATAAAAAAATTAATGAAATTACCATAATATATGTTCAATTTGTAACGATCCAGAATCCAAATAAGTTGCTGACTTCAAATAATTCTTCATTACCACAACCAAATTGATAACTGTAAAATACATTTCCATTTTGTTTTATCTACAGTCGAAATAAAAATGTTTAAATAAAAAGAAAATAATGCAATATCAGTTAGCAAATACATAAACTAATCATGGCACTCATAGATCTCGGTGGTAAAAAATTTCATCATATGATAATAAATTCAAGAAAAAATCGAGGAATATTAAGTTTTTTTATATACTCATCTTTTAATTGCAATTGTCCGCTCGAATAATCTTCATTAAATTCTCTTTTCCAAGCTGTAACAATAAATCTTATATAAGTAATTTAGGTAAACATAACTGGAAATATTTAAGATTATAAATTAAAATGTTATCAGAAGTAGCAAATAAAATATTATCATGGCACTCATAGATCTTGGTGGTTGCAATTATCATCACGATTGATTTTATTTATAATTAATTATTTTTAAAGTAAAATTCTCAGAGACGAGCATAATTGGAAATATAAAAAGTACGTGTGTCTACAAATAATAAAAATGATGATATTTACCATTATTTCACATATATTCGACTGTTGAAAAAGTATCCATTGTCAGATCATACCAGAAACACTGTAAAATAAAATTCCAATTATTTTTACCTGTATTAAACATATATCTTTAAAAATACTAAAATTGTTTTATATCAGTTAGCAAATACAAAAACTAATCACGGCATTCATAGATCTTGGTGGTTGAAACTATCATCATAATTGATTTTATTAA